AACCCTTCTGGACTGGTTACCCTTAGACCTTCTATAAGCGTTCCCTACTCTTAGTTGGCTCCCTGTTTTCTAAATTCTGTGCTTTTCTTTTTTCTTGCATTACTCTCATATTTTGCTGGAGCACATTCTCCAGTAGGTTACTAAAAAAGTATGTGTGGAAGATAAATTTTTATGAGTCTTTAGGTATCTGAAAGGAGCTCTGGTGGTATAGTGGTTAAGGCCTTTAGCTGTTAACCAAAATGTCGGTGGTTTGAACTCACCAGCTTCTCTGTGGAAGAAAGATGAGGCAGTCTGCATCCATAAATTTTACAGCCTTGGAAACCCAATGGGGTCTCTGAGAGTCAGAATTGACTTGATGGCAGTGAGTTTATTTGTTTTAGGTATCTGAAAATATGTATTTAATTATATCCTCACAGTTAATTGATAGTGTGCCTGAGTACAGAATTCTAGATTGGAAGTACTTGTTCTTCAGAATTTTGATGGCATTGCCTCCTTGCCTTATAACTTCTAGTATTGCATTTGAAAGCTGATACCATTGCAATACCTGATTCTTTACATGCGACCAGTTTTATTTTCTTTCTGGAAACTTTTAGAGGTTTACTTTTATCAGTGGTGCTCTAAAATTTTGTCCTTTCATTGATAGGTTTTCTTCCTTACTTAAAAACACTTAGTAAGTCTTTTGAGTTAGAAGATATGAAGCCTTTTCTCATTTGTCTGTTCCCTTTTCCTGGTGCTCCTGACTTAATCCTATAAATGCCCACCCTCCTTTTTTCCTTCCATTTCCATCTCTTTTTTACTTTCTCTGTAAGAGTTCCTCAACTTGCTATTCCAACTTTCTTATTCCATTTTTATTTGATAATCTAATTTTAATTTTCTACATTCCTTGTAGGGAGCTCTGGTGGCATAGTGTCTAAGGCATACATTCCTTATAAATAAGGAAACCAGAACACAAAGAGAATAATGACTTAAAAGAAAATTTCCTAATGAACTTTCAGAGCATAGTTTTATACTGTATTTAGTACATTGACTTGATTTTCTTCACTGAAATAAAATTTTAGATATGCTCTTTCAAATACACAGAGATTAGAAACTAATAGAAGAGGTCCACTAGAGAACACTCATATCGTCAGGATCATATGTACCATTCAAACATAATTTTATCTGAATTATTTTCCAAATTTTGGTTATTTGTTAGAGTGTCTCTTCCTGATCTGTGTTCAGGAGACATAAAGTATCAAGTCAGGAAAGACTGTTCATAAATTTCATACCTGTTTAATATCCCACCTCCCTTCGTAGTGATTCTGTTAACCAAAAAACCAGACCCACTGCTGTTGAGTCGATTCCAACTCATAGCACCCCTATAGGACAGAGTAGAACTGTCCCATAGGGTTTCCAAGTCTATACAACTTTGTGGAAGCAGACTGCCTTGTCCTACGAAGTGGCTGGGGCGTTTGAGCCTCATACCTTTTGGTTAACAGCCTAGTGTTTTAACCACAATGACACTAGAGCTCCTTGTGATTCTGTTAGTATCAGGAAATGTATTTATTTAAATAGCTCTCTATATCAAAATAAATTTTAAAATAAGTAACATTTTTCTTTCTCTCTAGACCTTAAGTGATGTACGAAGTCTTAAATTTCCACCACTATTTACTCAGAAATATCCTCATGAGGTATGTATAATTCTCATCTTTGATTGCTTGTAGAATCATATTTAGAACATAAGAGGTCCTTAGTAGTCAACTTGTCAGTTTCCCCATTTTTACCCACAGGAAATCAGAGGTCTAGAGAGGAAATGAACGTGCCCTCAAGAGCACACAGTTTAGGTCAGAGATTGGTACTTGGACCCTGGCTGCACATTCTTTATTATATGACCCTTTCTTATATGTTAAGAAACAACCAACTACCCAAAAATTGTCCATGTTTATTTGGATCAAGAGTTGGTAAAATATGGTCTCGAGGCCAAATCCAGTTTGCAGCTTATTTGTGTAAAAGAAGTTTTATTATAACATAACCATGCCCATTTATTTACATATTGCCGATGACTGCTTTTACGTTTTAGTGGTAGAGTTGAGTAGTTGTGACAGAGATTGTATGTATGGCTTGCAAAGCTTAAAATAGTTACAGAAAGAGCTTAGAGGGAAAAAAAAAAAAAAAGCTTAGAGGACTGTTTCATGTCTAGACCCTAGCCCCTTAATCATAAAACAATTTTAATATTTCAGTATGTGATGGTTCAACACATGCTCTCTCCATCTCCTGTGGAACGACCAGAAGCTACCGATATCATTGAAAATGCTGTATTTGAAGACTTGGAACTTCCAGGAAAAACAGTGCTCAGACAGAGGTCTCGCTCGATGAGCTCATCAGGAACAAAGCCGTCAAGACAGTCAAGCACCTCCCAGAGCCCTCTGCCAAGCAATTTGCCCTAAGTTGTGCTAGCGGTCTGGACTGGTGACACAGAATAGCCCCCCTCTCAGGACTGTGGCTTTCCAAAACTGTGGACATGAAATTTGTTCTTTGCTCGATCTGAGTTTGGGTGACCTTTTTAAGTCAAATTTAAACTGGATTTTGAGAAATAAGTTTGAGCCAATTCTTAATTTTTGCTACATTCCTGTAGAAGACTGTCACTAAACTTTTCATGTGCAGTCCTTTTACTTTGTTGGTCTCTTGAAACTGGCTGGCCAAGCTCTATAGCCCTTACCTTTTGCCTAGGGAGGTAGACTCAATCCCTAAAATATAGAGAGAGTTAAAATGGAAATATTTTTATAGCACAGGAGAATAGCGATCCCCACACGTGGTACTGTATTGTTCTAGAAATACGCTTTCTAACAGTAGGATGATCGTTTTGAAACTGATTCCCAAAAAGAAATCTGACTCCTTTTTGTCCCTGGTGGGTAAATTAGGAATCTGCACTATTATGGAGGACAAATAGCACAAATTGTATAACAGTGTATGTCCATAGCTAGTTTTATAGTGATATTTGTAGCATTCAATAGCTTTATTCCTTAGATCGTTCTAGGGAGAGTTTAAAAGCTTTTTGTACTTTTACCTCCAATAAAGGGAAAATGAAGTTTTTTTTTATGTAAGTTGGTCAAAAGTTCTAGTTTGGGGAGGAAAAAAAAGCAGTAGTACGAAATGAATCATATATTACAACTAACTTCTTCTATTACGGACTTTTTAACCTACTGAAATCTTAAGTGTCTTATATATAATCATCTAGGTTGGTACTTCCCCAAAACTGATTCTAGATAACAGTTTAATCATCTAACTTGACTAACATGTTCTTATTTTTCACTGTAAATATGTTTATTTTTTATTTATAAAAATCCTGAAATCAATCCATTTGGGTTGGTGGTGTACAGAACACACTGACGTGTGTTAACTATTGTGACTTCTTTCAAGTCTAAATGATTTAATAAAACTTTTTTAAATTATGTATGGTTGATTCTTATTTTGTGGAATTAGCTCCAAAATGGTAGGTTTTCAAATTTATAACATGGGATCACAGATCTACGAAGGATCGTAATCCTACCCTAAAGGAAACTTATTACTAACCTGTTCCAGACAGGTGGCTTCTCTGTTGTTTTCCGGAGAGCATAGCCAAGTCCTATTAAAAATTCGCAGGACTCAACCAAGAAACATTTACTCGGTGGCTACTCTGTGTCTGGGTCTGAGAACATAGAGAGGACCTGGACCTTGCACTAAAGGAGACCTCTCAGAGCAAAGGGCTGTGACCATCAAGTAGTGCTGGTCTCAAAGGCCCACCTGCCTTTATACAGTGCATCTGAGATGGACTGTATGGAGGCATGTGGCATGCCAGGCTGACTAGACATGCCCTGGCTAGACACAGCCTGTGCCAAAATGTATAATTATTTTTATTTTAAAGACAAATAATGTCCATTTGATCTGCCCTACAAGTTAAGAGCAATGTGTAAGCTGGATAAACACTTCACAAGAACCTCTGCACTGTATCCAGTCTCTCATTTCAATGCTGCCGTCCCATGTCTGCCCAAGTGCTGCTTGGCTCTTTGCCATCTGTCCCCGGCTCCTTCATCTCTTAGTCTGCCTGCTTCAGTTGCTGCCCCCTGACTTCCTCTTCACACTTGTGCTGTGGGTTTCTTCCCTGCTCCCACCACAATCCCAGCTGAAGAGCTTTGGACACTCACAATGACCTTGGGAGGTAGCCACCTTGGGAGGTAGCCATGGCAGGCGTTATCGTTACTGTTCTACTTAGGATGGACGGTCCAAAAAGGTGTGATTTGCTGGGATCAGCAAGTGTGCAAGCAGCAGAACCAAGACTAAAACCTCATATATTTCAACCCTACTCAGTGGTTTTCTAGTCCCTTGTACCAAGTTGTTTAAGAATTTATAAAATCTTACATGATATAAGGAGCTCTGGCGGTGTAGTGGGTAAGGCATTTGGCTGCTGATCAGAAGGTCAGCATTTCAAACCCACCAGCTGCTCCGCGTGGGGCAGGGGACAGGGGTTGCGGATAAGGCAATTGTGTCAGACTGGGTTCTCTAGAGAAACAAAACCAATAAAGCTTATATATAGAGAGAGAAATTTATCTTAGGAATATGGCTCACACACTTATAGAAGGTGGCAAGTCCAAAGCTCTTGGATCAAATGTCAAGTTGGAGGCTTTTCCTGACTCACGCAGCCTCAGGGGCTGAGGAGCTCAGAGCTGGCAGGCAGTACACTGGCTGTTGACTCCAATGAATGACGAATCCAAGATCTCCAGGCCAGATGGTGGATTGTTTGCTCAGACAGTTGTAGGCAGCACAACAGAATCCTGATCCACAGAAGAATGTCTCCTCTCCCAGGATGTCCATAAATATACTGGAAGCAGGCCACACCCCTAGGGAAACTCCCTTTCAACAGATTGGCTGCTCAAAACATAATCATCTAATCCCATCATGGGAATAACCACATCACAACGGCTTAAACCACACAGAATTGTGGTCCAGCCAAGCCGACACACAGCTCCAATTATCACAGCAATGTACTTCTGTAAAGATTTACAGCCTCGGAAACCCTATGGGGGTTGCTATGAGTCGGAATTGACTAGATGGCAGTGGATTTGGTTTGGGGTTTAGTACTAGGTTGTTAAGAATTTATAAAATCTTACCTGATATAATCAGGCTTCCTTTCATTTTAGTTCTGGGTGTGTCACTGTGCACAGCAACCCCATGTGACAGAGTAGAACTAACTGCCCTATAGGGTTTCCTAGGCTGTAATCTTTATGGAAGCAGATCACCAAGTCTCTCTCCCACAGAGTGGGAATCCAGCTGGTGAATTCTAACTGCCAGTCTCTCAGCAGCCACGTGACACAATGGTACCTGACAACAGCAGCAGGTCATTGCTGGAAAACAGGCCTGGGGAGGACAGGTGGCTGGGTGGAGGCCAGAATGAAGTCTTCTGCACTCCCTCCCAATGCCCTGCTTAGTGACTCCAAGCCCCTCAAGTGCTGTTGCTCTTCTGGCATCTTTCCAAGCCCCCTCCCTCCTCATTTGCCTCTGCTTTTAGCTCCTTGTACTTAACGCCATTGTCAAGCCACAAAATCCAAAAAAAACAAACCCACACAGTTGTTGTATGCCATGGAGTCGGACTCAACTCATAGCAACCCCTCCTTGGGTTTCCAAGGCAGTATCACTACGAAAGTAGATTGCCCAATCTTCTTTCCGAGGAGTAGCTGGTGGGTTTGAACCACCAGCCTTCTGGTTAACAGTCATAGGGCCTTAGGCACTATGCTACCAGAGCTCCCTCACAGGCAATTGATAAATCTAATGCAGGCCATCTTCCTTAGTTCATGTCTAAACTACCAGAGAAACTGTTTCTTGTACCCTCACCAGTATCTTCCATAAAGCCTAACACTTGACTAAATGTTTGAGGAATTAAAATTGGGAAATACAGCCTGTACCCTTGGTATAGCTGCAGCCCTCAGGAACTAAATAGCCAAATGTTGTTGTTATGTGCCGTTGAGTTGCACCCGACTCATAGCGACCCCTCCTTGGGTTTCCAAGGCAGTATCACTATGGAAGTAGATTGCCCAACCTTCCTTCTGAGGAGTGACTGGTGGGTTTGAACCGCCAGCCTTCTGGTTAGCAGTCAAGTGCTTTAGGCACTATGCTACCAGAGCTCTTAAATAGCCAAGTGGGGAGGGGAAGAAAATGTACCAGTCACTACAAAGAATGGCAAAATTGAAGGGAAAAGACGGTTTAACAATCTTGGTGCTAAAAACAGGTAAGTGTCAAATTCTGGAAGTCCCTAAAGAAAGTGGAACTAGTGTTATAATTTAAATGAGAGAAGAAATGGGCTAGGAGACTGGTTAGAACCCCCATGGCTCTGCATGATAATAGCCTAGCTCTTTGAGTCTAGCTCCAGGCTTACTAGAGTGTGGCACGTCCTCCACCTCCAGCTGGGCTGCCTAGGAGGATAGAAAATGGGAGAGGCCTATTGACACATCCCAGGAGAAAGTAAACCCACATCATGGTTCCCACTTGAGTGCCACTCTGGGTTTTGCCTCTTTCTGGAAGGCTCACCCATCACCATCAAGTCAAATCCAACTCACAGCAACCCTATAGGACAGAATAGAACTATCCTACAGGGTTTCCAAGGCTGTAATCTTTACAGAAGCAGACTACCACAGCTTTCTCCCCCAGAATGGCTAGTGGGTTCCAACCACTGACCTTTGGGTTAGCAGGTGAGCTCTTACCACTGTACCACCAGGGCTTCTTTCAGGAAAACAGTGATGCTGAACTGAGTGGTGGTCAAGAGGTCAGAGAAACAGTGAGAAATTCTAAAGATTAAGTTACCTACTCTCCCATTAAAAGTTCTCTGGAGGTACAGTAGTTAAAGTACTTGGCTGCTAACCAGAAGGTTGTCAGTTTGATTCCACCAGCTCCTCCGTGGGAGAAAAATGAGGTAGTCTGTTTCCTTATGGGTCAGTTTTACTCTGTCCTAATAGTAGTGCCTACGGCACTTGACTGCTAACCAGAAAGCTGGCGGTTCAAACCCACCAGCCACTCCTCGGAAGGAAGGTTGGGCAATCTACTTCTGTAGTGATACCACCTCAGAAACCCAAGGAGGGGTCACTATGAGTCGGATCCGACTCGATGGCACATAACAACAACAACAATAGAATGACTATGAGTTGGAATTGGCTCCACGGCAATGGGTTTGGTTTCTGAGTGTTTATTCTCCTTTCATCTCCTCATAGCAGATATGAGCTACTAGAATGTTAGGAGGGGATTCTTTTTTTTTTTATATATTGTTTCTCCATTCCATTTTTCTCTGGATGCATTTCTAACAAGACCAATTTCTGTGCCAATTTTCTCTGAGTAAGCGAAGACAGACAAGCTCCCAATCCAGCCACGCAGTCTTACTCCTGGAGAAATCAAGGAGTAAGGAGCTCTGGATATTTTCTGG